GCCAGGAACATGACCCTTTAATTAGTATAGATTAAACATTTGGCAGCAAAGAACAAATGCAAGACATCATTCATAACTTAAAATGGAAAAAATGTTAAGTCAAATGTCTATAAAATGCACAAATAAGTTGCTGATTCTTTGAAAAATATTTTAGTATGGACACAAAATATACAATCAGGCAGGTTTTTCATTTGACTGAGTATTGGTAACTCTTCATAATGGATTAATAGTATCTCTGCCAATGGTTAGAAAACACTTCTTTTAGTGCATACTCTACATGTTGTCTTCCCTTTCTTGCCCATTTAAAGCTTGTTTGAAAAAAAAGCCTTGGCTATAAAAGTAACGTGTTGGAATGTGCTCCAATATTATTGACCTGTCCTTGTTTTTTTGGCAACTTAGCTGGAGTATTTTTGCCAAATTTTATGATTTTATATGATTTGAAGTAATAAAACATGATGCAGTCCCAAAGTGGTGACCTTAGAGAATTTTTTTCTCTCTAAAAATGCATCACTATAACTTTGTAACAAATCTTAACTGTAAAAGTATTTCAATTTTCCCAGCTGCTTTTGCAATTTAAGCATATTTTGAGACATGTTTTTTCCCATCTGTGCTTTCATTTTTATACTTTGTTCAAGAATACATGCCAGCCAAATTCCTACACAAAAGATAGAATATTTAATAAAAAATTCCAAGAAGAATCACTGAAACGCTATCAGTTAAATAGTCCTTCTTTCAAACATTCCCTCTCCCTTGTATTATCTTTAAGATAGTCATTGATCAATTTGATCAAGTCATTGATCAGCTTACTCCCTCAAAAGCAAAATTTCTGAAAATGCATCACTAATAGTCAGCTATTAGGTTTTAACATTTATTTTGTTCAATAACAATAATGTAATCATGGTTAACACACTTCTTATAATATTCATATATTATCTGAATCAAAAAGAGATTAAACCATAGCTAGTGACGTGGCAAGATAGAAATCTGGCAAATAATCCCTGTTTCACCTTCCAGATTTGAGCAAAATATTGAAGAAGACAGACATGCTGTTCAAACTACCAAGCCTCCTGACTGATGGCTGGGAAATGAGGCATTCATTCCCATGTCCTTCCCTCTTTTAAACCTCTTTTTTACCCAAGCTATTCTTCCCCCTTCAGAAACTGAGTGTGCTACTGCTTACAAAGAAAGGAGGCTCCTTGGCAGGAGCTGATGAATAGTTTCTACAAAGAAATGTGCCACAAAGAACAGCAGTCCTGCAAAAATGGCTGCTAATCCTCAGTGTTGTCAGTGTAGCTCAGCCGTGGCTGTGGGAACTGGAGCCCTGTTAAAAAAGTTCTTCCACCACCCTGTCAGTGAAACCCAAGGGCTTTGCTTGCCGGGGGTACAAGTGGGAACATGTTCTGCTGTCACTAAGGTCAGTGTGAGATGGTGAGACGTTTTGCATGAAATTCATTCTTTTACTTTTTGAAGAAGGGTCAAAGTAAGCACCTGCCACTAAGAAAAAGTTGTAGGGTTGTAGCTGTAAAAAGTGCTACTTACTACAATTTTGCATTGTATGATGAAGAGAGAGGGGAAATAAGCAGAGAGGGATCAGTGCATTATCTTGGTTCAGGTCAGAAAAAGATTTTATGATGTGTACATGCAGAGAACGGACAAAAGTGGGAGAAGATTAGTGAACATGAAGAAAAAAACAGAAGGGTTTTATGTAATCATGCTTTATAGGATTTTTAGGAAAAAAACCACAAGAAGCTCCAAAGCCACTTAATAGGTCATTATAATTTTGATGATTCATGTTGCTCCAAATTACAATAAATGAGTCAGATAATAAAACTGGCTTTAAATATTAAATCCCTTTTGGTATTCACATTTCATGCTTTCAAGTAAGAACAGATACCATATTCCCTAAATTACGTATTTAATATTTTTAAAGTTAAAAAACAGATGTGAAGACAAACTTAAAACTGGAGTCAAGAGAATACTTCAGTGATTTGGAAATCCCCACATAAATAAGAAATTATTTGAAAGAGATCAGATACTTGGAGATATGCTTATACTTACAGATATTCAAATAAGATAAATTATGAAAATATAGATCTGTGTGTCCAAACAAAACTGCTTTCCAAGGTTACAAGTACAGTGACAAGGGGTATAAAAATCTGGCAACCAGAACCACCAGATGCCTTAAACTGTAATCATGGGTTTTGCATACTGTATTCAGAGCAACCTTATATCTGTGTGTTTGAACTGGGCAATTGCCTAAGCCCACCATAAAATGTTTACCTTACCTTTAAGCCCAGAATTAACTCCTTTTCTAGTAGTGTGTTTTGGAATAACTCAGTGATAACAATTTCAAAGAAGTCATGCAGTTCTGCAATCCTATATGCAAAGATGACTTTGCTCAGATTCTCATTCTGCTCTCTCTTTGGTGAACAAAGAACCTTGAAGAATGAGGTTAAATATCCACAACTATTTCTTGAAAGAATCAAAGCTCATGAACAGTCTTTCTTTGTTGATCTATTTATTACTGTCTTCCTTTTTATTTTGGGCTTTTTTTCTAAATTAAAGATGATGCAATATTTTCAATGCATTGATTCTGACAGGTGAAGCCATATCCTTGATCTTGATAAAGGTGTTTCCATACTTAACTGTACACTGAGGCAAATAAAATGCATTCTGGAGATTTCACTTCATAGTCTTTTAACAGAGCTGCATTTGCGCAAAGTTTTTTTCAATGTTATCTATAATGATGTCCAGTCTTCCAGATTCAGTTGCTAAAGTTAATTTGGACTCATAAATCATTTAATTCCCAGATATCTAGCCTTTTCAGAGGGATACATATTAGCTGTTGTTCTTGGTCATCTCACTTCAGTGAAAAATTACTTATTTTTATCCATATATAAAAGTCTGCAGAATTTTGCAAATCTCCTTTGACTATGGTGCACCCAATATCAATTTGCATTGCTTTTTAAAATAAATTATCACTATATTCTGACATCTCACAGTGTAATGATCAAGGACTAAAGATACCTTACTATTACTACTCAATTAAAAGGCACTGATTGTTGTCCAACATAAAAGAAGAAGCTGACCTAAAAGATGTCACCAAAGAATTCAAAAAATTCCAACATGTTTGGTCAAATAAGATTTGTCTGTGGGTGGAGAAGCTTTTGAAAATGAGGAATAGCATGGAGCAAGAGGTAACACTTAAGAATCAACCCTATGAATAGTGAATAACTCTAAATATCATAGTATGATGGCAATTGAAAATACCCATGTTCAATTATTATGCCAAAATCCAGTTGTTTGTAGGCTTAATTCTAGTATTCAAAAAGATCATCATGCAAAGAGCATGTAAAGGCTGCCTAAAGACTGGTTTTAAATCTTTGTGGTAGAAAGAGAAGTATGTTTATGGAGCAGAACAGTAGATGTGGGTCAAAGTTTATGCCAGGTCAGAAATCTCCCTGTTGTGCATTGCAGTTCACCAGCTGCATGGGGAGACTGGAGTGAACAAACAAATACTGCTTTGACAGTTTGGTCACACTGGGCATCAAGAAATAGTGGTCACTTCAAATGTAAGAATATATTGCCAGTTTTAGAGGTTTTGATTTCTTAATATACCTTGTTTTCTCCATATGCCACTTTTAAAAACAGCTCTGAAGTAAGAAAAATTAACCCAGTCCTTGCTTAAGTAACATTTAAGGGGAAAAGCTTAAATATTCAAAGCCGATAGATCCACCCATGGTCCTTAGCTGGTTGGAAGTGGAATGGTTATATCTGAACAGTGGTTTAGAGAATATTAAATCACAAGATGCTTTTTCCCCACTGATATAGAAAATAGCCATAAAACAAAGTTTAAAGTGTCTCATTACTACAAGCCACCATTCATATAAAGATAAAACTATTAAAATATTATTTTTTAAAAAATCAAGTTATCAACCTGTTTCACTATTCACTTAGATTAGGAATTGGTGATGTATTACCATTTGTGCTTAATGACACTAGCTATTTTTTATTAGCTTGTATCCTCTTTGTAGGTAGAGCATGAAGCTCAAAATTTATTATGGTTCTCTTGATAGAACTGTGTTGGAGTGAAGTAGAAGTTTGATTCTAGAAATTTCCTCAGTCAATGGAAAAAAATGAAGTCTTGTGGCCTGGACTTTCATGAATTCAAACATATGCAATGACACAGCAAAGAAATGTGAGATATTTGCAATTACTGACAAGAAATAAAGAAGTGTGAAGAAAAATCCGACTGCTTTTTCATAATTCAGGCAGGTAGAAAGAAAGATTTATGCAATAGGCTACTTTAATTTTCTCCTTGCTACTTATTTTTCCTCACTTTCCTTGAAAGCAGGGTACTTTGCTATAAAATATCCACTAAAAAAGCCATATTAGTTTAGACAGAAATTACTTCAGAGTCAAGTATTTTAAACAACTTTTGCATTCCTTAATATTAAGCATTTAAAGTATTTATAGGTTTTTCTACTGTTTTGTGTCTTTATTTGAAATTCTCTCTGATAAAAATGCACACATAACAGTGTTAAATGACATCTGACCTCTTTGAATTCTGGTCATGTGATGAATAATAGCTTTTAAAATAGTTAAGTGTAAATACAGGAAGATGACTAAACTCCTAAACTTTTATCTTCTAAAAAATTCCCATCACTGCCAAAGCTGGTGAAGCTCCTCTGATGGTTACAATGGTGGGAGGTCTAGGGGAGAAAGGCTGCCAAGTGCCCACAAGCACTTTCACTGTTGTACCTACTACCTATCCCCTGCAAATCTCTGTTCCTGCCTTTAGAAGATGAATGGCCACACATTCCTTGTCACATTTGGTTTTCCTCTCACAGAGCTTAATGTTGGGAAACTTAACATAAATACATAACAGACAAGGACAAGGACCAAATTTGTTTAGCTAGGCTGCCAGCAGGCTTACTGTACTACCCCCTTTCCAACATCTAAAGAATGCAACTATCTTCTCTCTTTCCTTTCCCATGTAGCTTGAGAATTACATCCAAGACAGTATGAAGAAAGAAATGGTAGAGATCCAGCAAACTGCAGTGCAGAACCAGACTGCAGTTATGATTGAAATAGGCACAAACTTGCTAAATCAAACAGCTGAACAGACCCGCAAATTAACAGATGTTGAAGCACAAGTAAGTAATGAATTTCAACCTCAAAATGCTTCTGCTTCCCAAATACTACAGCTCTACACTTAACACTGTTGAGTGTTACACGCTTCTGTTCAACAATTAGAAGTCAATCGTTGTGACCCACAGTTCTACCCAACTTAAGGAAACATTAGTATTTGGTAATACATAGTTCCATCTCAAGAGAAGTGTCACTGGAGTGATTTTCATTACAGTAGCATTTCAAGTAAGTCTAAAAAGCCAACTGCTAAATTAATCTTTAAAGAGAATGTATTTAAAATTACTATACTATATCCAGGCATCACTTGGGTCCTAGAGTGCTTTATACTCACATTACTCTCATTACTAATCTTAGCTAAATGAGTCTCTTCAAACTGTCTTTGCTCCATTTACCAGCTTAATTGCTTTTTTAAATGAAATCTTTCCTTTTTTATTTTTTTAACTTATCAAAAGAACTATGTCTTTTTAATTAATGTTTTCACAGATAACTCTAAGTGGGTAACAGTTCATTTCCAGCACAATGCACTGCATTATGGTAAACAAAGGGACACATAAATCTGAGATTAATAAAGAAAAAAGAAATTAGGAGACTGCTAGAAAAGTATATTCACACAGAAGTAAACCTGCCTACTGTACATTTGCTAACTTCAAGCAAAAAACAAATGTGTTTTAATTGAACAGCATTAAGTACAATAAGACATTTTCTTAAACAGAATGCAGATAATAGCAGAAGGACAAGTCCAATCCATGTAGAGTGGTATCTATTTGTAGTTTTGCAGATATCGTAGGAAGATGCAGATCTTTAATTGCCAAAACAAATAATGGATATATCATGCAGCACATAATATTTTGTATAATATAAAAAGTATGCAAAGCCTAAAATCCATGTTAGATGTTTTACTATCTGTAGAATTCATCCAATGAATTAAATTGAATTTTTTAACCTAAATCAAGACTTGTGAACTCTTGGATAAATTGAAAATTCATAGCTTATATGCATACTGAGCTGAACTTTCATTGTATTATTCAGGAGCCTAATATTTTGCACATGTTGAGAGAATGTATTTATTAATTCACAGTAATGTCTTTATGGAAATTACTCAGTTATTTTCTGCTTAGAGGAAGAAAATCATCACTGTAACTTTCCTTCTCTGCTTGAAATTACTGGTGACTGGGTTAAGGGCTTAATTAGCAACATAAGGAAATTAACCAAACAATTGCTCTCTCAAGGACACTTACTTTTGGCAATAATTTTCAATTACACTTAAGTGTGAAATCATGTCCTGAATGACTATTTAACATGAAGGACATGAGTAATCAATTCTTCCTGTCAAGGAAAGCCAAATTCTGTTGAATTAAAAAAAGCTATTCTAAAACAATGAGAAAATATTTCTAGAAAACTTGCCTTAAAGTAATGCAATACAAACCATAGAGTATCATACATGTTTCCCAGTATCTGCATTTCTTCATTTAAAGATGTAAATAAATTGTAAACAATGCATAGAAAAAGGTAATATTAAAAAGCAAAGAATGAATTGAGTAAAGTGTGGTCACTTTAGTTGATTTGCTTCATATGTTTCATGAAATATTAGTCATATGTTTCACATGATAAACACTTCAAAATATAATTTGGGATTGAATAGGAGAGAACTATCAAGTGATTTCACAACTGTGCCAAGATTTCAGCTAGAGACTTACTTTCAACACCAGATAGGGAAAACAACTCATTCTTTGAGCCACAACTGTCATAGTTCCAGTAATGAAATAAAGAATTATCCACTAATGAAATGAGAATTATTATAACAGAGGGGAAGGTATAACAACAGAGCTAAAGTACACAGTAACTCTCATCAGAAACATAGCATACTACTGAAATATTCCCAATGATATAGTGTAATGACAAAATTAGTTCAACACTGTGTATTCTTCTTCATTCTCATTCTATGAACATTTGTGCCTAAATTAAGTGTTGAAAAATATTTTTTAATCATAGGTGTACATAGAGATTGGCATGCTTTCACAACATAACAAAATGACGATTTATTTAAAAGATGTATTTTTAAAAGAAATTTCTTTTTTTGTAAATTTTTTTTAGGTATTAAACCAGACAAGCCGACTTGAACTTCAGCTTTTGGAACACTCTCTTTCAACAAACAAACTAGAAAGACAGATTTCAGATCAGACCAATGAGATAACTAAATTACAAGAAAAAAACAGGTAAGTTTGCACAGCCCAATAAAATGCTATTCCATTAAGTGCCCTTCTAATAGTTTTAGAAACAAATGTACTCAAGTAGGAAAATAAGGGTTTGCACAAAAGCTCTCCAAACTGATTACAAAATGTTGCCCACACTCATTACAAAGGTCATATATTACTTAAAGCCTGGGAGATTCATGCAGGTTTATTGTGTTCTATTTATATATTGTTCTTCACAATCTAAAGTTCTCCTTTATATGAGGAACTTAAGGCTAAAACTAAAACAGTACTTCTGTTGTACCCAATTTATATTCTTCTTTAGACTTTTCCATATGAATTTGATGTAACCTGACTCAAATTAATTGACTGTAACCACATCTCCAAAATTTTATTTCCATGTAGTACATAGCTATCTTAATGATTAAAAAGGTCATTGCTACCATTTTTTTACCTAATATATAAGTGAGAAAAATAAAGCACTGATCATATTCAACATTCCTCAAGAGTCCATGTTTTTGAAATTGACCAAAATCCAACTATTACTCCTATTCTCTTCTGTACTCGGCTGTGCTCCAAAGGCTCATACCTTTTTTCAGCTAGCTTCGTTTCCATATCACCACGGTCTTTTTTTACTTTTGGCAATAAATAGTTTACAGAGGAATCTAAAAGCAGCAATAACAGTAAGTTTTCTCCTTCAAAGCAATGTCTTTCAATGAGAACCATATGTGCAAAGTGCTTTTTCTTTGAAAGAATTAGCTTAAGAAACCCAGGAGACATGTTTTGACATTTTTGTTCACTACTCTACTACATTTATGTATGTTCCCTAAAGGTTTTATCTACCAACTTAAGAAAAACAAGTATCCTTATCAAATGGAAAGCAAAGGAAACACTGATTTTCAAAAGGTCATGTTTTTTGGTGTTGAACTCAGCAGACTTTAGACTACCCTCGTAACATCCACATAAAACACAAAAGCATTGTTTCTCACTTAACAAAATACAATCTGCATTGAACTAATCCGCTTGAAACATAATTATATATAAGGTTCAGGATTTTTTTTTCAGTAACGGCAATAGATTTCAGGTGAATTTCTCTCTTCTGGCTATGCATCTTTTAAGATCAGCTTTCTCAGAGTCTATGTCAGAACAATTAGCAGTGAAACAATGTTCCTAGCCGGTTACCTGATAATACCAGCTCTAAAATTGGAGAAGGGTAACCCATCTTCAAGTAACTATTTGCATGTTTCCCTGTCTTAATGCCGTAACATTTATGTTAACTATGTGTTTTATTATAGGATATTTGAAATGCTCAGAGTTACATCTTTAAATAAGTTCCATCTTTTAATGGCGTAAACCCATGACAACTTAGTCACTTTATCTTTCCTTTAATAATGTTGAATTATCAAACACCCAATTATTACATTTTTAAAGTCTGCAATACACACTGTAGTAGATAATGTTGTTTATTAGTGCACTTACATAATAAATGAAAGCATATGTATCAAACTAAACTTTCATTTAGTTGTCTACTGCTTGCATAGCATTAGAGAATGAAGTTGAGTGTATGAAGAAAGAAACTTATACAACATGCTTGATTCTCTTGTCATCAGCTCAAAATTGTTTCTGGAGAGCCTAATTGTAATCTTTTATTTAGCTTTTTAGAAAAAAGAGTTCTTGAGATGGAAGACAAGCACATGCTTCAGCTGAAGTCAATAAAAGATGAAAAAGATCAGCTTCAAGTCCTAGTAGCCAGACAGAATTCTATTATAGAAGAACTAGAAAAACAGTTAGTTACAGCTACAGTAAACAACTCAGTTCTGCAAAAACAGCAACATGATCTGATGGAGACAGTTCATAGCTTGCTTACTATGATCTCGACACCAAACTGTAAGTCAAACTAGACATGCTTATATCATTTCCGTGCTATTTCCTAATTTGTGTACACTGGTACCTATAATCTTACAACTAGTTCTGACACACTTCTGCTTCTCAAAAAGTATGTATTTTTTGCCTTAAATTTTGCATCCAAGTTAATTAACCTACATTTTAGGGGGTGGGAGAAACAACCACATTTATGTGATTTCTTTTCAATACTTTATTTATCTTCTCTGGTTTATTTATTTTCTTAACCAATTCTCCAGTGGCTCAACAAAATACAGAGAAGCCAAGTATTATTCATCTCACATGGCATTCACATGTGTGGCAGTATACACTTGCTTGACCATATATCTAGGTGAGACTGCATATTGTAGGTGTGCAACTTATCTTCCTGGCTCACAGAGATTGTTTCTGCCACCTCTCATTGCTTTATAACACAGAGTTTATCAAAGAAAGGATGAATTATAGTGGCTACCAAAGGGAAAGGAATAAGCACAGGCATAGTTTTTAGCCCCCTCAAACCAGAAAGCACCAGGCCTGGGCAGCAGGTACTCCCACAAGTTCTTCACCAAGGTATCCTTGTTCATCCCAAAAATCCCTCAGCCTAGCAAACCTTACAGGCTATAATCTCACCCCTAAATGCCTGACAACTCTGCAACAGATCATAGACACCAAGCATAGCTTTTAGATTTATGCAGATTCACGGGTGCCATAAAAAACCCACACAAACCATAAACTAAAAGTTATGGCTACACAGGATTTAAACTGTTCCTGCCTTGAACTTCATGTCTGATATGGAACTTGGACAGATTAGAAGCTGATCTAAAAGACTGTAGAATCTGGCACAGTTGCCTGTAAAGTTCTCAGGGCTGCAAGTACAGAAATATACAGAACCCCTAAAGAAAGGATTTAAAATTAAATACTGGGAAAAAATGTTAGAAGTTGTCATTAGAATTTAAAAGACAGTATCAGTGGTCTATGATATATTACTGTAAGGTGGATCACAGACAAGGAAAAGGGTGTTTGGAACTCCTCACTTTTAGTATAGTCCTATATGTTATTATCATAACATAGGTTGTAGGTTTTTCTAAACAAAGTAAATTCCAAGTTTTTTTGTCTTCATAACTGACGCTATTCCCTTAAATACCAAGGCTGTACATGTTCCTGCTGATGTTATCTGCTATGCTAGTGCACAAATAAGTAAACAAGTCAAAGTCATGTTGGCTACAGCACCATTAAACCCAGAGTGGAAAAAATAATGAGTGTTTGCCAAAAAGACAAAATTAGCAGGGAAAGCTTCTAAGACAGTATGCAAACAATAGAGTGTGGAAAAGCAATTAAAACACTGAATGTGTTATTTTTCTATTTAAGGCAAAGCACTTAAACAGGTAAATAATGAATAAGCAAGCCAAAAAACATAATAAGCAACTGTAATATAAGCACATATTTATATGGCAACTAAACCTTTGTAGTAACTGACTGTGATTGTTAGATTAAATTAAAAGGGAAAATACACAGAACCAACCCCAGAAGGGTCAAATATGAAATATCAGTCAGCAGGCGAAATGCCAGGAAATTCCAACCTCCATAGTTAATAAAGAACTGAACAAAAAGATGAACCTTAGATTGTTCTGTTGAATAAGAAGGCTTAGACATATGAAAATGTATTTTTTGCACAAATGAATTCCAGAAGGTATGTATCTTTAGTGAGTTGGGCTGACCTACCAAGCTTCAGCTTGGTACATACAAAGTTATTCCTACTCAGCACAGGGGCAAAAAAAAGAGCTTAAAACCTCCTAAGGGTAGTTCCACCAGTCTGTTGCATTACAACTCATTTCACAATGTAAGAGTACTGGCCAAAAGTCATTATTAACCTAATCATTTGCTACTTAGGTATGTATATAAATAGTAGTTCATGCATGCTTAGGTTGTAATGCATGTAGGAATCCAGCAAGGGCAATGAGTAGAAGCAGAAACTGTTCAACTGAATGAGATGCAATATCCTGAGTTTTCTCATTCAACATATTAGTAAGTGTCAGCACTTTTCCACCTATCAAACAACCACAGTCCTATCAGAATAATGTCTTTAAATGATGTAAAGTAACATCACACATAATAAGTACCTTGATCTGTCATTTCTTTCAGGACCAGACATAATTTTTGGAACTGCTTTAAGCCAACTACTCCATAAATTGATTCTTTGTAACTTTCATTAATCTTCTCTTAATGCCTTCAATTTTATTGTATTTTTAATAGCTAAGAGCAAATTCATAGCCAAAGAGGAGCAAATCAGCTTCAAAGACTGTGCTGAAGCTTTCAAATCTGGACTGACAACAAGTGGAATCTACACTTTAACAGTTTCAAACACTGCACAAGAGAAGAAGGTAGGATGACTATAAAGAGCTACCTAGCCATACTGCATGTTAAAGGTTATTTAGCAAATATGCTATTTTAAAGGCTAGTTAATAGTGAAGTTTACTACTTACCAAGTTTTTTTATAAACTTTTAATCACTCCTAGATCTGAGTATCTTACAGGAAGAAAAAAGTCCTTCAGGTGAAATCTTGGCTCAGTTGAAGTGAAAAACATTTTGTTGTGTGCTTCATCATGCCAGAATTTCATTCTTTTCTCCACATAATTAATGTAATTAAATCAATAAGGTAGTGTAATTTCTTTATAAAATCTGTAACTCCAACAGAGTTGCTCTGCATGATCAGCAGACTCCTGTCTCCTTTAAGTTCTTAGTTCCTTCTATGCCCAAGGGGGTCTTTAGGTGGCAAAAGGAGGTAAAGTCAGGGGCATGGAAATCTCATGGATTTATACTCATGAAACCAATCTAGTAGTACTGGACTCATGTATGGGCTTCAGTTCTTGTATCACAGAGTTTTAAGGACATTTGTGTAACAATTAGATTAACAATTAGACACTGTCTAACAGAGAGGACTTTTCTGGGAAATACTGCCATGGAAAATACTACTACTGATTCATATAAAAGGTGAGTTTGCAGGGGTTTCACTAGATCAGTTTAAATTCCTCTATGGATATTTTTTCCCCTATGTGTTTAACTGAAATGAACTTCAATGTCAATTTAAGTTAAAGCAGTATGCCATACCTATGTAGAAAAGACCTTGAATTAAAAATGGCACTCATTGGATGATACATTGGATGCCTGACAGAGATGCTCCATCTACTGAAGTAAATAAAATGATAAAGCATCAGAGAGTATAATTTAGTTGAAACAATCAGTAGAATCTGAAAGGGAGAAAAGTCCCAGGTTGATTGTGAGTATAAAGAACCAAAAACCTGGAGCAAGCATTCAGAGGAGTGGGGCTCTCATGATAAAGGCACAGCAGGCTAAGGGACATATGAATATAAAAAAATGCTTAATATATTTCTTAGAAAAACACGAAATAATTTTATTATGTTTTTATTTTCTAATTTCTACTGTAGATATTTCCTTTAGACAAAAATTGAAGTATTTTACAGAATTCCTAAGGCTCTACTTTATTGCATTAGAAAAACTAACAGAAAATGTAAAAAAAGCAGTGGAAAAAGAGGTGCAATGTGGAAAAGGAATTGGTAAAGCTCTGACAGAGAAAGCAATTTTTTTTCCCAAGCAAAGGTTCAGAAATGAAGTTCACTGGTGACTGGACTTTGAAGTGCCAGAACCTCATTTTGCCCATACTAGACTGTGATCTTTACACTTACAAAGCTCTCAGCTAAAGGAAATAAGCAATTTGTTTGGGTAAGATCTATAAAATACAATAGATATAACCTGTAATTTTTTGTAGATATAATCCAAAGAAATTATTTGCAATCTGCTTCTCTGGGAAAAAAAAAAAAAAAGCACCAAAAAAACAGCTGTCGTTCCTTCAGAATAATCTAGTCTAAAAACATCAATTTCACAGAAAAATGAGTTACATAAGATGCAATGAAATGTTTTATTGTACATGAAGCTGAATGGAATTTAAATAGCATAGATATCTAGAATCACAATTTTAAAAACTAAAGGAGATAAAAGCTACTGCATCTCCAAAGTAATGAAATGCAGCAGTCTTTGTTAGACAACTCAGGAATTACATTCCTTGGATCTCTTACTATGACTTGTCTCAAGCTTTAATCTTTGGTTTTAATTTTACTGTCAAATATAGTATACAGAGCATGCATATTTTCTGAAAGCAGACACAAGTGGATGACATATTACAGAATAAAAATTTATCATGAACTTTAACACTTTGCATTTTCAAAAGTACAAATGTCCTAGACTATAAAACATTAAATGCTTTACACTTGAATATGGAGACTTTAAATGCTTAATGCAAATATCCATTTTGGTAATTTACTAAGTTAAAAAAAAAAGTAGTTAAATCATAAAAATTACACTTAGTATTAAATCAGTCATTTAATAATATTAAAAAATTAAAATCTTTTTTCTGTCCATTTCAGGCAGACAAAGTAAGACAGGGAATGTTTTACTTACCGCATGACATTGAAAATAAGAGACTAAAAAGTTTTAACCTGATGTTGATTTTTTTATACAAATATAAATGCATAAGAGGTGTTGTCAAGGGAAGTGAAGGTTAGGGACAATCAACATGTTACACCATTTTCAACTGTTTATGATGTGGATAGCTACTCAGACCAGGAAACAGAGTGACCTTTTTTATTTGCCAAAAGTGCTGCACTGCTGTTTATGTTTTTGTCTTTTCCTCTTGTAACACCTTCTGACCCAACAGGCTTATAAACAACTTCTGTGTAATCTGTAACCGATCCCACGTTACTAATTTTTCTCCCATCATAATCCAAAACTAAGGAATTGCATATGACTACTGAGAGGAAAACAATTATTTAATTCCATTAATATTTTCAAACTTTCCTGTTCTGCAACAGGACAAAAGCTAATTCCTTTTAAAAACACTGAGGAAAACAGCAAAAGACTGCTGACATGAGGAAAAATGGCAGAGGCAAAACTATGGAAAGGCAATAGTTTTATGCTTACAGCAACCTCATGAAGCAATTAGACTGTTGTTCTTATCTTGTCACATCTTTAGGAGATAGAGATAGCAGAATACAAAAATCACTGGACATAATGACTCCAAAGTGTTCAGACAACAGCTGAAAGTGATGCAAAGGGTCACTGCAAAGATGTGGAGACTGCACTTGCTTTGCTATAAAAACTGCCCTGGCTCTTCATCCTGATAACTCAGCCTGAGCCTTACCATTCCCAAAGTAGGTCTAAAAACACTTATATATATCCCAAATACCCTCTTACAGTGCTACAGCTGCTAGAACTGTAAGTACTGAAGCACTTCACAAGATACATCAAATACTCCCTGTTCCAATTTGTTGTAACTTGAGAGGCTAATCTCTTTATTCTTTTTGGCATCTGTTTGAAGACTCCTGCTGCCTGCCTAATCTTGGTATCTATTTTTATTAGTTTTATGAAATGTTACATATCTTTCTTTTGAATATAAAACCTAGAATAGGTTGAAAGGTCAGAAGAGTTCTCTTCTAGTTATGGTGTTAAAAGAAAGACTTAGAGTTGATTGACGCATAATTTTTCTTGGTGTGGAAAAATTATACTTCCAAATTTATGTAAACTTCTAAAAATTGTTACTGGTAAGAAAAATCTATATGAGGTTTTTATAGTCATCTCTTCAATTTCTCATTATGGTTTTCAGTTCCTAGTGAGTTGCTTTTTCCTTTGGGAACTAATTTGCAGTCCCCAGCATTTATCTTAAAGTATCTAAAGTATCTATTAAAGCTAGTTGTCTTACCACTCACTTAAAAAACGGATACTACCTGTAATATATTATGATAGACATTCACAGTCATTCACTATTTATATCTTAATCTCATTAGAACAAAATAAAGTGCTATTTAAAGGCATTGATTTTTTCGAAGTATTAATTCCAACTAAATTGAAGTTTAGTCAACAGGCATAAAGGAAATTGCACATAACATTCAGAAACATCAATTAACAACTACAATAGCACTATCAGACTGAACCCACAGCTCAAATAAATTAATACATGGCCTCCCACTGTACATAGTTAGAAACTACATATTTCAGAGAAAGGTGAAACAGTTCTATTGTCCATCTGGCTGCTTATACTGTTCTTTTAAGTGGGCTGAAACTTCAGAGTCAACAACTCTATCTACAACCAGTGATATTTGATCATTGTTAAATGAGCTTTTTAACTTGCATTGATGCTTAAAAAAAGTATTTGCATCTGCTTTAGCCCATTCTCTTCATAGCCCTCTGCAGAAATTAGTTTTCACATATACATTACACATCATGAGTTAGCCTTCTAAAAGAGATTTATCTTCTCTTATAATACCTTATCTTCAGCCTTTCCTTTGAAGGGAATTTTTATTTTAACTAAATCAATTTATGATCACATTTATATCATCACATTTTTACCATCACATTTTTACCAGTCATTAAATACAGATGTCAGTAAAGCCAAACAAAAAACAAACTTTGAGGTGTACGGAATTGCATACATCAGTACAAATTGAGGTTTCAATTAAATTCCATTCACAATACATACTTTAAAAGGTATCCAATTTTTATCCGACTTATCCAACTTTTTTCCTTATTTTATCTTCCCTAAAAATCTCCAACTGTATGTCATGTGATTTTCTGATGTTGAGCAGAGTCTACGGCAAGCTTAAAGCACAGTATCTGCTTTGGATTTCCAATGTGCAACAGCCTATTGAAACACTAATATATTTGATATTTCAGCTGTTACGATTTTTTTTCCTCTCAAAGGTCTGATGCCTTTCAACAGTATATATGACACTGCTTGAACTGTAGGTACTCTGATCCATATAAATATATAGATGTGAGTGTATAACATACCCTAAAAGAGTGAACGAAATTGAAAACTTAGTAAGGAGCACACTTTACTTCCCCAAGTGACACACATAACACTACCACAGCACAGAAGGAAACTGGCTTCACTGCAGTCATACTTTTTCAATGAATTTCCAGGATGTCTAACAGTTCAAAGAGCTCAAATCTCCTAATTGCTAACACTGATAAGACAGTCTCCTATAGAAGAGGATGAAAAAGACATTAGAGCTTTAGTGCCACCCAGTCATGATTTGGGGCAATTATAGACATATTGTAACAACCAGCAGTTAGGCAAGAAGTAAGACTACTGAGGGAACTGTTAAACAATGAAGGAAACATCCAAATTAATAATGAAATACTTGCCTAGTTTCTTTTTAAATTATTTATTTAATTACAGATAAAATATCTTATCAAAGTGGAAGAAGTTAGGTCTTGCTTGTACTACTATAAATGGGAAGCACAACTTCACTTATTGGATGAAAGATCTAGAATACAGATTAGAAGTTAATGTAATTCAATACTCAAACTAGAATTCAAAAATTTTCAAAGATGTGAAGTGATTCTGAAGAAGGCTCTGAACTTCAATATCTTGGCAGAAAGTGGTCAAAAAAAATTAAACTTCCAAATGAGAAAACATTAACTGAGAATTCTCCAAACAGGAATTCTTGTACAAGAAATTCAATATATTTCTTAAAGATAGTACTAACATGCAATTTAAAGAGATACTGACTTCAGTTTGGCTTTCATTGTACTGTCTTACACCAGCTTAGCTCCACTGACTTCACACATCTAGTTATAAGTTCTGTTAGTTTTCGAAAAGCAGAATTAGATGCAACAATTTGAAATCCTTTCTCAGGAAAAATTGTACTAGATACTTTCATATTCACAAAATTTTATTGTTAATTTATCCCCTACTTCTCCCAAACGTCACTCCAAAATTCCAATTAATTTCCAAAATACTTTTTTCCCATTAGCATCTCTGCAGTATATTGGCACATTCAGTAATACCTTTCACCTCTGCTGCTGAAGTGATTTAATCTGGGAGACTGATTGAACAAGTCACCTATAAACTTGAATTTTACTGTGCCAGGGATGCACTTATTGGGTACTTAAACATTGAGTTCAGTGAACTGCTTATTACATGTCAGTCTTTTCAAATTTTTAGCAATAATCTGGTAAATTCAAAGGTGATTTATGAATATTTGGGAACATCTTATAGTTGTCATTTTTTGTTCAAGAATAGATGTTCATTGCAGTCTGTATAATAACATGGCTTTAAGATACAACTTTCAGATAATATACTTAGATTTAACTTTGCCAGACCATTTGAAAAGGCACTGAACAACAACTGTGATAATAAAAATATATTTCAGTTTGTTCATGGCCTGAACTTAACAGTACCTATGCTCTGAAAATTCATGGGGAAATTTGAATGGATCTCTCACAAAAAAGATGGAGAAGTGAAAGGTGTCATTTGTTAAGGTATTCTGTTAAGTGTGATATAAACTGAGGAATCCCATTTATTTGTGGACAACCACAACTGATTTGTATGAAAGCTGTGAAAACTTGCATTTTTAAGTTCACTCATATTTTGTGCATGACTTGTGACTATATAGAAGGATGCAAATTACATGATTTCTGGTTTTGTTTTGCTGTGACTGCATGCACTTAGGCTGTTATATGCTTCCTTTGGTAGGCCTATTGTGACATGGAAACTGGTGGAGGAGGTTGGACAGTTATTCAGAAACGAGAAGATGGCAGTGTGGACTTCCACCGGACATGGAAGGAGTATAAGATGGTAAACTGTTCTCTGAAGCCTTAATATCAGCTGTTATTATTATCTGAAATCTAATATGCTAAATTTATATTAATAGCATCCTTAGAATGTAAGCAACCTTAAGAAGTTCTCTTTGTCCTCAGATGCTCATTTTGAAAATGTCAGAATAGTGTAAGTTGTTTGCCTAAGCAGACTTGTAAGTGTGATGTTTGTTTTTAAAGAGAAACCTTACTTTTTTTTAATCAACTGTTCCATCATATGTCTACATTTTTTGAGTTGTTTATATTTGTGTTTCTAGTGGCAACAGTAGGAACTGCTCCAAATCTACTAAGTAATATTGATTCAGTGTTTCAGATTCCTGAGCACGTCCTTGCTGAAATCAACTTTTTGAAACATTACAGATCAATAATGCCCGTGGACACAGTAAAATTCTTAGTTGACAGGCTGAAAACTATTAAACTTAAAAATTGATAAAGTGATCTTTTCAAACTGAAATGAAAAAAACCCACCCAAACAAAACTATTTAAATATACAACTTGAATTACAGGGATTTGGTGATCCTGCTGGGGAGTACTGGCTGGGAAATGAGTTTGTTTCTCAACTCACTAATCAGAAGCGTTATGTTCTTAAAATACAACTGAAAGACTGGGAAGGAAATGAGGCATATTCATTGTATGACCACTTCTCTCTAGCAAGTGAAGAACAAAAATACAGGTAAGCAGAAAAATCAGATCTAATTAAAAAAATGTTCTGATAGTAATCTTTCTAAACTGTGTAGATGCATGGCCTTATTTCATACAAATCATGACTATTTTCCAGCTCACTCAGAAAGTAATGTTTTCTTCATTTTTCATCACTTGCCTAAAAAAAAATTTCTTTTTCTAGAGGAGAAAATGTGTATTTTACTAGTGCATCCTGAGTGAGTATAACACACAAAACACAAAGATGACGAGATAGTATGGAACAAGACAGGATACATGTGCCAGTATAGTGGGTGACAGTGCACAGTCATTAGGACAATAGGAGTTGCTATCAAATTCTGATTCCCTGCAATAAATATATTTCTGGAAGGTGGATATCTAAGATGAATTATACTGCAAGGATTTTCCTTGTCACTGGCTTTTAGGAACTGTTCTGTTGTCATAAAGAGCACACTGAAGTGAGGTGGCCTTATCCTTCCATGAGCCACTGGCTAAAATTCTCAATAACTCTCCTACCTGTGAAAATGGAGCAAATATGCATTTCACTCATTACCAACTTGTCAATTTAAAGACCAAATTTTAATGGACCTATTATTTATGTTCTAATCCTGTAAAATGTAAAGGTTCACAATTTCTTCTAAATTCTTGGTTAAAATAAGAAAGAATACAATTTAAAAATAAATATTTAATATAAATATTATCATAGTATTATATACTTTAAATTGTACCATAGTATTACACATTTTGAAACAGTACCAGCCACAGCAGAAATATGGGCATTTCATAGTTCATTCACCAGGCTCTCTGTAAATGCAATAAATAGTTTGATTTATTATAGAAGAAATTAAACACTTCACAGCACAACAGATGCTTTCCTACTACATGGTCCATGAAATGTTTCTTTGTAAGAATCTTGCAGATTCATGGAGCTTTGGGTGACTGGACAGAAAAATGGTCTACATTTAGATGATTTTCTCCAAGATCTCTAGCAACTATTTGTTGTAAATGAAGTCAACCTGACACCTGAGAGACCTGATGCTGTTATTTCAATTCAGGTCTTATATACAAACAAAGCAATTCAAAACTATCAGCATCTGCCCCCCACAAAATGTTAGATCTTAATGCTTTGGTTGTATTTAGTTGTCCCAACTCCAAAGTAAATATTTTTTCATCTGGAAACAGTCAGAATCTACAGCAGAGATTTTTTTTTAAGTAATGCTTTAAAATACTTAGAAAGGCAACTTTTACCAAAAGGTGTGATTACCCTTGTCCATTTACATATTAAAAGATAATTACTGAAAACTAAGATGGTAAAAGCAATTTTATTACAATATACAACCAATCAAGGAATTCATTATAAAATCGAGTGTTTTAAAGAACGTATTTAACATTATGAAAAAGAAAAAAAATCCAAAGAAAGTATTCAGTTAAGAACATCTTCTGTGCCCCATTCCTGGCAATGTTCAAGGCCAGGCTGAATGGGGCTTTGAGCAACCTGATCTAGTGGAAGGTGTCCCTGCCCATGGCAAAGGGATCTAGATAATCTTTAAGGTCCTTTCCAACTCAAACAGTTCTTTGATTCTGTGATCCATTACATTAAATGATTAATAGATCCATTACATAAAAAGATTAATACATTCTGAATGCTGGAAAGATTATTACTTGGGCTGTAAAACTGAAATTTCTTCATATTAAACCGAGATCAGAATGGACTTTGTTTGAATCAGACTTCCTGATCTCAAAGCTATGAAGTCAAACCAGGTTGCTCAGAATTTTTCATCTGGGTCTTGATAACCTCCCAAGATTACAACCTACTTGTCTTTCCTCATGGTAGAAAGATTTTCTGATATGCAGTCAGAACATCTTATTCCAATTTCCATCCATTGGCTCTCATATTCTGTTATACTAAACTGTACCTTTAACGATTTATTGTTAATCACAAATAAATAATACTATGCTTATAATAGACTTCAGATGATATTTGAGGACCCAGCCTAGGCTCATACCTTATACTTGTAACCTTTAATATAATTTATGCTAGAAATTGGCTTACATAATTTTGAACTCATCTTAAGAAAAAACAGTAATTTTTTAAAGATATTTTAAAGAAAATCTGATGAAAATCTTAATGAACTGATCTTATGAAACTTAAATGAATAAAAACTAATTAATTCTATTTTAAAATAGGGAATATTAAATGGGTTAAAATAATCTGTTCAACTACCAAAGACAATTTCTGTCATAAGCAGAGAATTATATGCAAGATGAAGACTGATTGGGGGACAAGTTAATTCTCCTCAGACAATAAGACTTCCTCTTTAAACAAACAGAATACCTCTGAGAAACATGAGCTATTTGATACAGAAATGCAATCACCCAAAAGATATTGTGGGAGCAGAGGGTTCAAGTCCTTCCAATTCAAGGTAACACAGGAATAGCTGTGTAATTGTCCTACCTAGTTCAGTGCCCTGTGTCTCTCCTCACTGAGACTGCATTGGCACCCATGCAAGCAGAACCCAACAGCAGCAGCCTCACTGAAAGCTTACCTTGCCAGGTAATTGAACCAAACTGAAATACTTGCGAAGAGCTAACACTAAAATTTATGAATGATGTGAAAAGGATAAGTAACTAGGACAATGGAAAGGGAAATATTGAGAAACTTCTAAAATATCATTTACTAGCTCAGAATTAACACTCCTAGTAAGGCTGTCATCTCATATATGCGGGGTTGTAACGCTAATTTGCTGTGTTGTACTAACAGAAAAATAGGAATCAAAAAAGTTTTGGCCTAAACTGTAATAAAATTTTGTAATAAAAATTATTGCATGTGCTGTTGCATTGAAGTACAAAAATTGAAGCACTTTCAGTATGAATTAATACATGATCTGCATGAAAAATCCTAGAAGTTACTACCTACCTGCTCTCTTTTTCTTCTAATATGACATGAACAAACACATGTTCATTAGAATATTGTGCTGACTGTTTCTGTTCATTTGAAAACATTGTACTGAAAAACAGCTTACAGCAGCACATTGGCCAGAAGAGAATTAAACAATTTGAACAGGATATTTATTGCAAATTATTCCATCATTATTTTGCAGACATCTTCCATCAACTTCCACGTAATAATTGTTTTTCCACTTTTCACTTCTACAGGATTTACCTTAAAGGACTTACTGGGACAGCGGGCAAAATAAGTAGTATAAGCCAGCCAGGAAATGATTTTAGCACAAAGGATGCAGACAATGACAAATGTATTTGCAAATGTTCACAAATGCTAACAGGAGGTACGAATGTTTTTATGTTTCTCAGTCTTCCTATTTTTATTGGCACTGAAATTGTCTATGGGATAAATAATTTTGACTTAGTAAATTTTGATTATTAAAAAAGTTCAAAACTCACAGAGAGAAATACTAGTATGGTGACTCTAGATGAAGTATTTTACCATTTGATGAAAGTTAGTTAAAATAAAACCAGAGCAGTGAAAACTGGAGGGAAAATAAGTCCCTGAAGTTGGGGTACAAGAAAGTATTTAATTGTGGAACTAATCAGAGACACAGTAGATTCCTCTTCCAAGGAATGAGGTACATTCAGAGATCAAAATACAACTCCCTGCAAAAAACCTCTTTCAGAGATTCAGCCGTCAGTGAAATGGCTCCTGATTTTTCAGGCATAAGCCCTTTCCCTAACTACCCAAATGTAAAACTCCCAAGAGCTGCTGTGTGCTGCAAGTGCCACAGAAGGGTACAAGAATTTAATTCCTTAGTCAATATAGTTATGAAGTGGTAAAGATACACCACAGATATATCTACATTTTTCTAATGATTGTTCACTAGTTATATTTGAGTTCTAGGTGGTATTTTTATCTTCAACTACACAAGTAATTCCATATAATGTGTTCATCTAGAATTCCACATTCTGAAATGTAAACAAGTGCTTTGTAAATTTGGCTTCTCTTCGTGTTATCTCTTAAGCAATTGTTCATTTCCCTATAGCACAAGCTCCAAGAAAAAAAGACAGCTTCAGTTTATCCAAAAGGACAGTTGGAATACTGCCCTGCAAAACAGAACACACACACACTATCGCCACCATAACAGAAATATAAAAATATTATTTTATTAATAAAAATAATTTTTTTCTTATGACCCACTAAGAAGTCAGGACTATACGGATACAAAGTACATTTGGACTGTTTTTTCTCCTTTTCCTTCTTATGATGTTTTAGGAGGTTTTGAACAAAACAGAGCAGAGAACTGAATAATTCCTCTAGAAAGAATTAAGAATTTCACTCATTAAATCTGTGAAAAACAGGAGTTTACCAAAGAGTAGATAAAACCAAAGGCAACTCAGTATCATTATAATTCAAGTTGTGTTCTGCCCTCAGACTGTCAGAAATGTTTATGTTGATAATAAATTGATTGAACACTTTTCCTTCTCAATTTTCAAATACAATGTACTGTTTAAGATTCAAGAATATGGAGTTGATGCACAAATACATTTCTTTCCTCAAGTTTGGGGCAAGTATTTTACATCGACACTTCCAAATCATAAGAACAAAAAACCTGGGTTTTGATTCCTTTCTCATTTCCAGACAAAAAGTGACCTTAAATACTATTTTGAGAATTACTTCTGCTGATATTTGTCTTCTGTCTTGCAGGATGGTGGTTTGACGCATGTGGTCCTTCTAACCTCAATGGAATGTATTATCCATTACGACAGAACAACAACAAGTTTAATGGGATCAAGTGGTACTACTGGAAGGGCTCGGGATACTCTCTCAAAGCTACGATGATGATGATTCGACCAGCAGATTTCTAAATGCTTTGTCATTATGTGAATTATGTATTGTATAGTCTTCAAAGACTTATTTTACCAAGCAACTTGTCTCATTTTTTCAAGCCCAGAAACATGCACTAGTGTTCTGAAGGGGTCAGTGCAGTACAGTTCCTGAATTGCAATTGTCTTGATCAGCTAAAGCTCATATTATTCAACCAGACACAATGTCTAAACCATCGACCTGATATAACAGTGATTTGGCCAAATGACTCAATAAAAAGAACATCCAAGAAACCGTCAGACAACTTCAAGGACTCTGTTTTACTGATCATTTATGTTATGTATGTGTTAGTAAATAACTGGAACTGTGAAAAAAACCCTAAAATAGTTTTAGGAATATGCATTTTGCCTCACCACTGAACTTTAAACATTAATATAAAACACTTAGCTAGTTCTAGCTTAGTTCTAGCTAGATCTAGAACTATTTATCATTCTGTGTCATGTGTGCCCTATATGTACATAAAAAAAATCTTTTCTGTAATTAGCTCAATACTATAGTTAGGGATTACATTCTTTTCCCCCATAGTCTCCTAAACAACTTTTTACTCTTATTTGAGGATTTTTTCCAGTAGCCTGTATGACTATGTTTAACAGAGGACAAACAGCATTTAAATAGTGTGCATTTATTCTTGGGAAATACCATTTACAAAAGTCATAATTTTTTCAGTTTGTTTCAGTCACTGTCTTTAAATTATAGAAAATCCCTATGAATTACAATACAGCATGTATTCCTATACATTTTTATGAAGATTGCACTTTTTTTTCCTTCCCTTGTCATTTACCTGTAAAATAACTGACCAGTATATTTTGTAAACTGAGACAACGGCATTAACACCAGATGTCTAGTTGTCTGTGACAATCATGTATCACCTGGTGATGTAATATAACTATATGTTTTGTAAAAATTACCTGACTGAAAAACATATGCATGTTCTTTGATACAATTAAATTTATGCTTATGACTTAAGATACAAATTACTACATTTTAAGAACAGGAAGAAAAATAATCTGAAAATTATCTATGGGTTTTTTTCAGTAAGGTTAGGACTTCTCCCTAAAAATTCTCTGTAGGTAGCCCCTCAATGTACACCACAATGTGAATAAATTACTCTACTGGGTGATCTTTCCTTTTTTTTCTTTTTCCCCCTTCATTTTATTACTATATGCTTTAAAATTGCAAATCAGATTGAGAAGATATTTCTTCATACATCACAATAATTTAGTGGAGGTTTTTCTCCAAATTAAGTTTAGTTTTTAATTCTCATGCTTATTCTTTGCCTAATATTTTTGTAAAACTTTGATTTCAGCAGATGACTGAATTAGTTACAATGCAAGAACTTAACCCAAAACAAAACAAAAACCCCAGACATATTTCTGGAAGCTAACTTAACAAAAGGTGTTGTAAGGGCAACAAGGCTTGTGAAAGGTCTAGAAAAAATATTGTACAAGGAGGGGTGAGGGATCTGGGGTTGTTTAGATGGAGAAGAGGAGGCTCAGGGGGGACCTCATCACTCCCTACAATCACCTGAAAGGAAGTTGTAGTGAGGTGGGGTCTGATCTCTCTTGTACACTGCTAGCAGTGACAGGCCCAGAAGAAACTGCCTTAAGATGAGTCAGGGCAGATTCAGATTAGATATTAGAAAAAAAATTTCAGTGTTACAGTGGTCAGGCATTGGAACAGGTTGCCCAGAGAGGCTGTGGAGTCACTATCCCTAGAGGTGTTCAAGAGGCATTTGGTTCTGGTGGGTGATGCTGTTTACAGGTTACAGTGGAAGTGCTGGGTGGACAGATGGACTGGATGATCCTGTAGGTGTCTGCCAACCTGGTGATTCTATGTTTCTATCTTGAAAATAGTAAGTGGTTTTGAGAAAGATTGAAGAAATCTCTCCATTTTAAACTGACAATCATTAAAGCTGCTATCAGAGTACCCCACTACTCACACTACCACCATTCTTCTTCACTGAAAATGTGTCATCATTACTAAGTGTAGCAGAGACAAAAAACATTTCTAATATTACTTCATGATTGATTTTATATAAACCTAAAGAATGTAAATTAATAGTCACTGTCTGAAGAGTTCCATAAAATAATCTTTATGTATTTGAAATTACTGTTTACCATTTTATTATTTTTCATAATAAAAACTTGTAAGGATATACACATCCCAAACTAAAAAAAAAATACTTCCCAAAATTGCTTTCACAAATTTTCAAGAAATGTCTTAGAGAGAAGTCTAGAAGAGTCTTTACTAGTAGAGGAGCCACACACACCAACAAGCACATAGCATACCAAGAGAAGCCTCAAGAGCTGTTGTTTTTCAGCCTGGAGCAGAGAAAGGGAAGGGGAGACCTTAATGGTGCCTGATTGAGGGTATAGGGAGGACAAAGCCAGACCCTTCTTGGAGGTTCTCTGCTATGAGACAAGAGACAGGGACAACAAGCAGTAAATACAATTTGGAATTGGGGAAAGTGAATTTTCCTTTTCATTTATTCATTTATTAGCAGAAAGGTGGATTGGACAAGTCCCTTGGAGCAAAGTGTTGAACTAGACAACCTTCAGAAGTCCCTGCTAATCTAAAATACTTTATGATTCTATGAAATTTAATAGAAATGCTGAGTCTACTTACTGTATTTCCTGTGTTGGTACATTTAATCAGACAACTAAAGAAAATACTCCCAATATTTGAGACAGTAAGCATATCCACACCAATAATAAAAGGAAAGAGAAAAAAAGCCAACAAAACAGACAAACAAAAATCCTCAAAATGTTCTTAAAAACCATGATGGTATCTGAATGCTTAGTCTGGCAAAGAAAAGCAGCGGCAACTTCTGGTTGACAATAACTTTATTTTAGTAAGGAAAACCCTGTAAGACTACAATAATTTAATATTGCATGGCTAGTTTTGATTTGTTGAAAAAAGTTTATAGAATTTGAGGATGATGACTGTTCTAAAATGTTAGGGGGAATATGTCTTTAAATGACATTTCATCTAAAGAAGACTGCATGGCTTGAGCACCAAAGCCCAAAGTGAAGCAACAGGAGGAGATGTAGAAGGAAGGCAATAATAGGAAGCAGAATGCTGCAAAAACTACTTTTGACTTGGTACAAACAAGTAAAAACGTAACAGCAAGGTAACCCCCACTTTCAATTCCTTCCTGTAATCAAATAAACAGTATGTGAAACTAGAATATACTTCCATTTTCTCTAAGTACTTTGTAGGAAGCAGGAAAGAAAAAAGAAAAAAAAAGACAAATAAAACCACATGAATAAATTTATGCTCAAATAAAAATCGCAGCTGCAAAAAAAAATTAAGGTATCTGTTACAGTAAGAAATTAGAGTGACTAAACAAGGAATGGCTGTGGAAATATTGCCTTGGACTTCAACTTTGTTCCTTTGCAAGAACAGCACATTGTAAAAAGAAGTTATTCAGGTTCTTAGCACAACCCTAACCTCCCTTAATTTTACATTCTCACCATCTCTCAAATTCTCCTTACTTTGGCTTCAGGAATAAAACCTCTAAAGGGAATCTCAAAAAAAACCCCACGAGGAATCACCTCTAAAGAATGCTATGTACATTGTTACTGATAGCATACTTTGTTATTAATCAAGGTAGTCTGAAAAGAAACAGAAAACTCAAAGCAACCTAGTACGAAATTCAGTGTAGATTTTTTCATAGAAATACAGAAGGGAAAAAAGAGAACATGCTTCTTATTTATTTTTCACCTTAAGATTTACCATTCTTACTGTATTTGCTATATAAAACAATCTACTTTCTCCTTTTATAAGAGGTGTGAACTTATAATTGAAAATTAATTTCTTTAAGGGTTATTTGAGATGAACAGCTACATTTTCCCTAAACTTTGAGAACATACACCTTACAATCATGAAATAAATAATACATATAATAAATAATACATATTAATGTTGGATATGTAAATTTACATAAGTTATAGATTTAGAAAGAATGCTAAATAGAAGTTCTTAACAGTTAATAAAATTACAGCAAAAAAATTTTCATACCCCAATAACTGTACTTTCTTCAAAGCTGGTATGAAACTTTGAGAAACAAATTGCAGACACTAATTTAGTGGAGGGAAAATTATTGGAATGATTGACTAGTAACCAGCTAGATTTCTACTTGTTTTAAAACCAAAATAAAATTCCTGTTTCATCAACTACAACACATGAAGTGCACTGAGGTCTACACAGATACATCATGCCCACACATACCCACTTGTGCACTAGTTCCCAATTCAGTACTTGAGAATGATTATTAGAGACAGGAAAAATGCTTCATTTTTTCCTACTTAGCAGTTCTAGAAGACCACAGTAATTTTCCATTGCCCAAGTAATTTCTGGGCCAAAAAAACTGAGTCCCTGACCTGCAAATCTTTCCATTTGGCAATAACATGCCTCTCCAGTTTGCACACAGGTACAAATAGAAATAAAATTAAATTTCATTTATATTTCAGTAAGATGCTGGTTTATTCAGGTGTTAATTGGTGAATCAACATTTTGCACTTTCCACATGTACCAAAGTTTTTGCACACACTTCAAAAAGTATTGGATGAAGAGGAAAATAACTCCTTACAGTATCTGCTTTAAAAAAAATATTTTTCTAGTAGGCTTCCTTATTCACTAAACCTATTTAGAGGGCAAATCATTTTCCAGATAAACAAAAGAAGGTTCACAAGCTTAAAGGATCATTAAACTTACAGGAGCTGCAGGGAAGCTGGATGAAAGCTCATATGGTTCCTCTGAGATCCAATGGCCTAATTCCAAAGACCACAGAACCTAAAATAAAATAAGTGGTAAGTAGAATCTTAAAATTTCTAAAATCACCTTTTTGAATGTGTAATTAGAGGTGATAGTACTGTTACAATACCTGGTTTTCTATTTCATTTACCCAAACCAAATCATTGGGCGAAAAATCAATAAATAAGAAAGAAACAATTTTTACAACTAAAACAACCCATTGAAATATCAGTCATACTTCTATGCACAGCTATATTACATTTTAAAACATTGTGAGGATATTCAAAAAATCAACTATTTTTTAATCACAATACATAGAGCAAAAAATTTGAAAAGGGAAGTCATAATATATCAGTTCTGTTCTCTCAGTTCAGTAATCATTGAATTTCATGAGGTTCCTGTTGGCTCATTTCTCCAGCTTGTCAAAGTCCATCTGAACATGAACATCCATCTGGTGTATTAAACACTCCTCACAGTTT